TAGTGCTCAACATTGGCAAGCAGTGAATAGAGTGTTTAAATATCTCAAGGGAACCATGAATTATGGTTTGAATTATTTGGGGAGTCCTTCGGTTTTAGAAGGTCATTCAGATGCAAGTTGGATTATCAACATGGAGGACCATTCCTCAACTTCTGGTTGGGTATTCTTGCTTCGGGGAGGTGCCATTTCTTGGGCTTCCAAGAAGCAATCTTGCATTACAAACTCGACAATGGAATCTGAGTTTGTTGCGTTAGCAGCTGCTGGTAAAGAAGCAGAGTGGCTAAGGAATTTAGTCTATGAGATTCCTTTGTGATCTAAACCGATAGCACCTATTTCTATCCTTTGTGATAGTGCTGCTTTGGCTAAGGCATATAGCCAGGTTTATAATGGCAAGTCTAGACATCTAGGTGTTAGACATAGTATGATTAGAGAACTAATCATGAATGGTGTGATTTCAGTTGAGTTTGTGAAATCGCAACAACATTTGGCAGATCACTTGACTAAAGGTCTGACAAGAGACTTAGTGCACAAGTCTGTAATCGGGATAGGATTAATGTCCATTTAATTCTATAATGATGAGACACCCAATTCCCTCCTAATATAATGTTAGGAGTTGAATTCAATGTGGAATGCTCATACTTATAGATTGGAACACATGAAGTATTCATCCCAGGTATGTGTTCGGTTCTGCAAGTTAGCCAGGTTGAAGTTTAACTTCTTAATAATTCCTTTGATAAATGTATGTGCAGATACATGGAAAGGAGTTACCTACGTGATTGTGAAGTGTAGCCGCATTTCAAGAGGTTGTAGACTTAACCTTGATACGATCATGAGAGGATTGGGACACACAGCTTTATAATAGTGTCAAGTTGTATTATGCTAGAAATTCAATAAACTAGTATGTATTTTACTTTCTGGTATTCAAATGGGTTGATGGGTTCAATTCTTAGAACACCCTCATTCTCGAGTATTTGCAAATGTATGATACTAAGTGGAAATTCAGTCGTTTCGATATTTTCATTATGTACTAGTTTGGTTTGTTTGATAAGGTTATGTTTTATCAAGGGTTACACTAAAATGGGGGAGGAATGTTGGTGATTTTAGTGTCACCATGTCATTTTAAGTAACTAGAATTAACATGTGAGCTAAGGGGCTTCATAATTTGTACTCTAATATATGTATGGGGTTGTGCGGAGTGCACGCATGTATAAGATCGAATTAGAAGCCGGTTCGACGACTAGTCGCGGGTCCGGGGGCAGCGCCCCTTTGGCGGGGTCTAGGGGCAGCGCCCCTAACGGGGTCCAAGGGACAGAGCCCCAAAACCTCACCGAATTTTACATATGGGAACATAGTGGAAAAGTCAATTTCTTGAGGGTGATTATGGTAAAACTAACGAAACTCGTTAGTTTTGGTAACCCTAAATCCTCATTAAATCCGGATTAATATTACTTGCTTCCAAAGGAAATAATGACGGCCCAACCCTAATGAAACCCTAATCTTGTTTAATATATAAACAGCTCTTCCTCTACAAAAGAGGGTTACGATCTTAAGCTCTCGTTTTTCATCATACTATCACAGAATCCTCTAGCATATTGGCTTACGTTTTTTGTGCCTAGAAACGTAAGTGTCCACTTGGATTATCCTAGGCTGAATTTCTTGTAACGCAGGCATAGGGTAGAAATATCGGTTCGGAAAGTGATATCACGATCCAAGTTGGTATCCAGATCTCCACCAAAAACCCTAATTTTCCTACACAAACTTGGTTAGAACTCATGAAAATCACCGGAAAACATTTTTGAAGAAAAATACCGAAATACGAAAGCTAATGAGAATTTCAAAGTCTTTAATTAGAGGTGTTTTTCATGATTCTAGCTGCTTACACTTGAGCTAAAGTGTAAATGGACTTAAAAAAACATAATTTGAGACAATTAAAAAGAGTTTAGAACCCTCCAACTCAACAACAATGGTTTGAAAAACCGAAATCCCGCAAATAAGTGGTTTCTCGACCGTAGAAGGTTACTGGAGGCTCCTCCAGCCACTAGAGTACCAGGAATGGGTCTAGGATGCCATTAAAGATGAAGTGGGATTGAATCATACGTTAGGGATGGCTTTGATTGAGCTGCACAATCGCTTCTTCACTTAGAACCCTAACCGACGAACTCTTACTCTCACCTCTCTCTCTCTCTCTCTCTCTCTCTCTCTCTCTCTCGGTATAAGAAAAAGAAGGGCAAAGGAGATGGTCTCATATAATCCGGTTTTAAGTGTAAAGAGGTTAGGGATCCATTTCCTTTCAAGAATGTAGATTTTAATAGGCTACGAGAAGAGAAATATGCAGAAGTTTCCACATCAGGTAACAGGGGGGATGAAGAAGACATGGGATTCTCATTGTGGCAGTTCTGGTCCCTCTTGTTTGGAAGAATGTCATATCCTACCCTAAAATCAATTGCCTTAGCAAATCAGATTTCAGAAAATTATAATTTGGACCCTAGACATATAAATTCAGTTATTATTATTATTATTATTATTAATTAACATTTAAAAAGAATTACATATCGGGAATTGGAGACGGACGTTACATCCTCCTATTGTAATTTTGTGCTTCTCTTCAATAGAAGATTTTTCAGATCCTAACATATTAAAGCCTAGTTTGGTGTCTAGGGAATTTTTCAAAAATATCTTAGTTTTTGGTCGAAATATTTTTGTCTCAAAATTGATTTCTACAGATATGTTTAGAAAGGTATTGTTTCATGAATTCTAGATATATTTTTTTCGTTATTTTTGGAGCGCCAGAAGCCCCCAAATCATTGGTTAAAGGTAGTCAAAATTTTGTCTAAAAAACTAGTCCGCCTAATAAGATGAAGTGAAGTCATCAATGATGATGTCACTCACCAGAGTTCTAGAAAATTATAAATTGGCCCCTGAAGTTCTAAAATTTTTAAAACATGTTCTTTTCTTTTATTTATAAAAATGCCCATTTTAGTCCCTGTATGTATGAAACTTTTATAAAGGTCCCTGTATGGCGGAAATATTTCTGTTTGGTCCCACTTGTTTATCAAATTACATATTAGCCCCCATCCTTCTATAAGGTTACAAATTAGCCCATAATTCCATAACATTTTCAAAAAGTGTATTTTGACCTCGAAAAAATCTATGCTACCATTTTGAGAGTTCTAAATTCAATTAAGAGCTCGGTTTTATTTAATTTTTCTTTTAAAGTTTTGTAAAAGTAATTGCAAGCATATTTTATTGAATCTACAAGTATGATTATGATGCTTCGACTTACGCCCACAAATTGCAACACGTGGAAGCGAAGGATGGAAGCTTTGCTGAATCTAAAAGATTTAGCAGATCCTTCAAGAAAAAAAATGTGTCAAACTTAACCCATATACATATGATGTTGAGACGATAATAGATAAAAAATGGTGTCGCAAATTCGACAGTGGATCGACCACAACATTTTTCATCATGTCTCTCAAGAGATAGACACATACAAACTCTGAGAGATGCTTAAGAGAATATATATTATGCATATACAGTAGGTAACAAAACCATGCTAATGAGGAACCTAGTAAACCACAATTCATATAACCGTACGTCCATAACCGAGCATACATGACAGTTCCATGATCACATAAACCAACTTAGTGTTGTTGATTACGTTCTCAAAGATGACGAACAAGCCATATTGGTCTTCAATTCTCTACCTGCTCATAGGGAGATGCTTGTTGTCAAATTTCCCCCTCGGTGGAAAAGTGACAATGAAGATGGTTACAAACACCCTAATGAATAAGGAATGCAAAAGGAAAAAAAGTTGTTAAAGAACAATCATTTTCCTTTGTGTCAAAAAACAACAGAAGAGGCGAAGATTGAACCGAAGTTAGAGATCGGTGTTGAGGTAGAGGCACACACGGTTAAAGTAAAGGAAGATCCAAAGATCGTAGCAAAACATGAGAACAAATTAAGTCCACAAATACATGGTTTGAGGGCTATTTCAATCATTGTAATTGTTATGGCCTCAAAAATAGTGATTGCCGAAAGTTTTTACAAGAGTAACCCAAGACGAGACAAAGTTCACGCAAGGAGAATGGTGAAATTATAATCACCATACCACAATACATTCCTGTTTTATATATAAGGAGGAAGCATGTATGTATGTTGGCACTCATTATGATGACTGGATGATTGATAATTGCATCATATCATTCCATTCACCGAGATTTATGCACTACTTATAAACCCGAAGACCATGGTGCTGTGAAGATGGGAAACACTAGTTTCTCAAGAATTTTCGACATTGGCGATATACAAAAAAGACTGATGTTGGGTGTACATTGGTTTGCAAGATGTTTGACATGTCCCAAAGCTGAGAATGAATATTATCTCTGTTGGAGCTCTTGACGATCAGGATATGATAATCAATTCAAAGAAGGCACCCGAAAGTTTTTAAAGGTGTTATGGTCATTGTGAGGGTGCAAATTTATAATTCACTTTATAAAACCCCTGTAAAGTTGCTTCAGTCAAGTTTCACTGTTGTTGAAGAAGAGACGTCACCAAACTATTGACATAAAAGACTAGGCCACATGAGCATAAACGGATTGACCCAAATAATGAGTCTATTACAATGTCAAAAGATATTGCCCTAGATCCCTATGAATGTTGTCTATTTAGGAAACAACGTATAATTTCCATTAACTCAACGAGAAAGAACCACTTCAAGTTGTTGAGCCATGTCCACTTTGATGTATGTGGACCCATTGAAGTAGAATCACTTGGTGGAAGCAGGTATTCCGTGACATACATTGACGATGCTTCACGAAAGGTATGTCCTTACTATCTCTGGTCGAAGGATCAATTCTTTGATCATCTCAAAGTTTTTCTTGTAATGGTGGAAAAACAAACATGCAAGCAGCCGAAATTCCTCTAATAAGATAATATAGGATTACACTAAAACACATTCTTGATGACCTCAAGCGCATGATTCACTACGACCTTACAATCCACAAGTCTCCATCATCTCAAGTTACTACCTACATCGATGTTGACTCGGTGGACTTCCTCAATACTAGGAGATCCACTTCTAGCTATTGTCTTTTTCTAGGGGACAACCTAATTTCATGGTCTTCTAAAGTACAAACGACGATCTCCTATTCCAACATTGAGGTCGAATACCATAGACTTGCTAATGTTGTTTCTGAAAGCTCTTGGATTACCAATTTCTTAATGAAATCTTTTATTCTTGTCAGAAAACTATACTTGTCTATTGTCAAAATCACAACAAGAAAATATGCCATTAGTGGCAACACCACTATTAGCTACGACAACTGAACTTCGTGTTTTGGTGTCGTCGCTATTGGGTTCACTGCTAATGGTGGTAAACCACGATCCAAGGGAAAGTTACAAAGAGCACCCCCTACATTGATTCAGAGTCCGAAGACTAGGTTTCAATTATTGTACAAGAGTACTATTCGCAGCGACAACAATGGCAGCAACAAAATTGCCGCTAATACCCTAAAAAAATGACTGCAAACATTTTCACTCCATTTATCACTTTCAGCCACCGCTAATTGCTCTTATCGCTGCTAAATTTAACAAAATGATGTTAAAAGCACCAATATTTGTACCAAAGTTGATATGCAGTATTACAATAAAGACAAAAATGATTACAAAAAGAATAAATTGTAATATATTTTAAATAAAGAGAAAATTAAATAGTATATTAATTGTGTCCTAAAAACTAATAAATAAATGTCGATGGGCCTACAACGAAACCTAGTATCATGATCTACCCTACTGTTTAATCTTCTCCGGTGAGCGATTCAAGATTATATTTTCTTGCGTTTCAGTTTATATGATGATTAAATAAAGCCAAACACTTTTCACACTAGCGGACCCAGGGTGAAAAGAACAAATGAAACCCATAAAGTCATAAATATAAAAAAAATTAAATCGAAAATAAACACACTGTTATAAAACTCACAAAACTCACTATTAATATTAAAGAACACAAATATGACCACAATATTACAAAAAAACAACTAATTTAAAGAAAAGTTTTTTTCTAGCACTTTTAGATGCAAAATCATTAATAATATACGAAGATCGTTTTTATCTAAGATATCTTTTTCTATACATAATATTACAACTTTGGGTAAGTACTATCAATACAAATAGATTTAGATTGCAACTTTTTTACTTACCATATTAACAACAAATAAAACATCATACCAAGTAACCATACCAAGTAAAAATTCGTATTTCCCAAAGATTTAAGTAAAATTTAGTTTCACTTTTTTATTTTGGGTCATCACATGTTTTACTTAATTCTAGCAAAGCAAATCTTAGTTGAGGAACTTGAATCTAATTGTTTTTATACTTTCAATCATATTTTCCCAACGAGTATTAGATAATGATTTTAAAGTTAAAGTTGGAACATTACCTAAAAATAATTTCCACAAGGGAGTGCCATATCATTAACCATAAGGTTAAGACTATGACATGCACAACACATATCCTTGTAATAAAATATGATGCTTAGGATTTTCTATAAATAGTTTTGATGAATGTAAGGGCATGGGAAATTAACAAAGCCCTCATCAAATAGATATGTTATTATATTTTTTTAAGAGTTAAAAATAACAATATATGACGTAAAATGTGTAAGTATTTTAATAGATTCTATGTTCTATATTATAAAAAAATATGCAGCATTAAAAATTATATTAAGGGACCACACTACTATATAAGTTGTCGTGTTTCTAATCCAGCATACTATTTTAATTAGAGTATATATAGCAACATTTCAATATTTTATGTTATATAATTGACGAAATACATTTTAAAAGGAGTTAAAAAGTTTAAGTTTTATTTCAGAATAAAACTCCTTGTCCTGCTTTATTAAATGACAGAAAACTTTGGATTCCAGCTCATATAACATAAGAACAAACACGTAAATTTCGGAAATTGTCAAATAAAAAATGCCAACTTGAAATATAGCAGAGTTTATGGTCGTGCTTTTAATCTTTTAAAATTCGCGCATTATTCATCTGATATAGTCTATTTGAAGGACTATAGACCCATAATATCATTCTATCAAAGGTGAAAGTTGAACACTAGAACTAGTAGTGGGATTTACAGTCTAGAAGGTACGTTTGCATCCTCATCTACATCACAAATTCCGAATAGCAGACTATATATAGATATGTACTCTCTTACAATTTTTCCATTTTTTTAGTTCTACCAGAGGAACTAATTAAGTCAAGCTAAAATTCAATATGGCAAACGGAGATGTAGATATCGTTGTTGAAGACGTACAAGGTCTTTTTGATTCTGTACATAGTTCACCATCTGCTTTTCCACTAATTCCAATATTTATTGATATGGTTCCTAGTGGACGCCGAGATATCAGCCCAACTTCTTTCGACCCTCGGGTGGTCTCTATTGGACCTCTTCACAGAGAAGACAAAACTCTACAAGCATTTGAACACCAGAAACTGATGCATGCCTCTGATCTATTGAATTCTCCTCGTCGCTCATCCAATCAGACGCTAAAAGAATGTGTGCAGAAAGTGCTTGCAACAACAGCCCGAATCAGGGCATGTTATGACAATATAAAGATCGAAAAATACAATGATAATGAACTTGCCAAAATGATGGTTATCGACGCTTGTTTCATACTCCAATTCATTCGTGTGCTTACAAACTCCAGCGATGAAGCAGTAGCCTTCGTGCGTGCCTCATCTATAATTTATGACCTCATGCTGTTCGAAAACCAGATCCCTTTCTTTATTCTACAAGACATCTTTGACTCCACCATTTTGACATCTGAACCAAAAGCATATCTTGCTGGCCTCATCCTCCACCTTGTACAATTTTTCAACATTTTTGAAACAAACATACCAGTTCGATGTAGTTACCCTATAGAACCTGATGATCATATTCTTGGCTTTCTTGAAAAATGTTGCCGGCCATCAAAAGAATATTCTCCTTTACAAGGATTACCAAGTGTAGCAATGCACACGACTGTAGAACTGGAGAGGGCAGGTGTGATCTTTAAGCCTAATATAGATGCAAGATGGGCAATGACAATTAACTTTCAATCATCTACGGCGTTTAACTGCTTTTCATGGAGTCAGGATAAGCCTACTCTCAGAATGCCAGTATTGCGTATTGACAACTTTACAGAGTCGATTTTAAGGAACCTCATTGCTTACGAGCAGTCATCTTCCTCTTATAGAACATGTGGTTATGTGACATCATATGCCCTTGCCATGGATATGCTTGTCGATACTGAAGAAGACATTGCTAAGTTGATAGAGTCAAAAGTCGTTGTCAACCACTTAGGTTCAAATGAAAAGGCTGCAGATATGATCAACAGCCTTTGCAAAGAACTTCCCTTCAGAAGGTTCTATTACTTTGATGACTGGCGTGAAATGGATAGGCACTACAATAGTTACTGGCCCAAAAACATTGCGGCTTTGAAGCGTACATATTTTAGTAGTCCATGGAGTATGATTGCTCTAGTTGCTGCAATCGTCCTCTTTGCGCTTACAGTGGTTCAGACCATCTATACTGTTAACGCCATATAGTACCATAGTTGCTTTCAGCTAATGAGGCAACCAACAATTGATTTTCGACATTTGTTTTTCTTTTATGCTATTCGTATCTCTGTCTTTAGAAAATTAATCATCCATGTTTTTCATCCTGAATTTCAGTTTCAATGTTGAGCTAAATTGATGTCAATGCTATTAAACTATTTCTTTGGGATGAAGGGAGTGAGTGCTGTAAGTGCTCACCAAGTGCACCATATACCACCCCCTCCCGGCCTCCCCTCAACATGTGGAGCTTTTCACCAAATGCTTGGTGGGTGAGAGAAAGCCCAGCTCGATTGTTTTTCCCGCTCTTCAATTTTTTTTGCAACTAATTCACTCCTCCTATATGGCAAGGAGTAACAAAATATTTTGCTTTTTTAACCTTACGACAATGTACTTTACTTTTTACACGTAATAAAGAAGTATGTACAGGTGTAACTGATGAAATTATTTCTTTAGCTCGAAAATCGGTAATCCGTCAATTTTTCTTATCGAATTTTATTGCTGCATAGTTATAGTTTCAACCATGTTGGAATTTGCGGAAACAAGTTATATTGATAATGAAAACCAGATATCGAAAGGACAATGTAGTAACTTTTATGATAATTCGATTCTAGTGTTTCTAAGATTATCTCCAACCCACCTCCATTTTTTTCCTCAAAAATGGAGTAAAAAATGGGGCAAATAGTGTTTCTTCTCCAATCCTACTCTATTTTTTACCCCATTTTTACTCCCAAAAAGTATATTCCTAGTATATTCCGTTATTCCAACTTACATAGATCGTCAAACACACCCTCTACTAATTTAGTTTTAACAAATATATAATCTATATTTTTTTTCATTACATTAATATTAAATACAAACGATTATATTTATAATAAACTTATAAATAAATATTATAAATGCATTTATAAAAATATTACACATACACACTTTTAAATAAATATTAAATAAATAAATAAATAATAGGATTGTCACTTGTTGGTTTTTATTAGAT